CTATCATTTATCAATTAGATATATAAATGGGCCTAGTGGGGATGTCAAATAAAAAATGGACCTAGTGGAGAAAATTGCAGAGTTCAGCTAGCTCTATAAATCTTTTAAAAGAAAAAGTTGACCTAAACACGTTCCATTAAGATCGAGATTTTAAAATTACAACATAATGGGTGTGACTAGTTGCTCTTGATAGAGTGAAAATTAGTAGTTGAAAATAAATTATGCTCAAATCCTATCAGTTTTCAACCAGTGAGAAGAAAAATAAATTAACTCAAATACTCTAAAAATGAGTAAAACTAGAAGAATATATTAGAAGAATATTTCAACCCGGTGAAAAATTTTCTTCTGAAACTAGCTTTGTTTTTCTTTTTTCTTTCTCTTTTCTACTTTAATTTATTTACCATTTTCCTATATTAAACCACCAGTCACACCCAATGTGAGATTATTTGTCGATAAAATAAGAAAGAAAAAATGTGAGATTTATATACCCGGATAATAAAATATTAAATCAAGAACATCAACTATTTATGGCTAAAATATGTTAGATATGATGAACGCATACAAATCTTTATACATTTGTTCTTTTATACATGGATATAACTTACATGTATAATACAGATATTCATGTGTAACAGTGCGTGTCAAGTAGTCAACTTGCAAAACAAAAGGCAACGCAAGGGGGGAATCAATCAATCACAGCTTTTCATATACTAAATTATTGTTATCTACATATATTAATTCGTAGATATATATGTCCTTCTTAGGTTCGAATCTTTTCGTGGCCTTATCCATTTTTGGTAAGACAAACTTCTGGTTATCATATATTTCCTCAATTTCCCAATTTCCATAATCATGTCTTTGGATTTTATATTGGCCACTTTTTCACGAATATTAAATGATAAATTTTACTTAATGGAGACCATATGATAGATCCGACAAATCTAACAGTACTACTATATCTCCATTGGTATTGTTTAGTGGGGGTGGGGGGGGGGCAATCTGGTTCTCCTTGTAGACGCTCGATCAACTTGAATATCAAGTGTCATATGTCTCTAAACTTTGTTTTTCTTTAAATCATACGTAAATACATGCATATCGATCGACGCGTAAAGATGTACATAATCATAAGTATAGGTCAAAGTTGGCTTAAATGTTCATATGTGAAATCTCAATTCACACGCAAAAAAAAACAAAAATTGTGAACTGAAATGAATGAAGTGTGGTGTATATATTTGATGAGCCGATGTGTGTGAACCCTTATATCTAGACGTTAGTAGGGACGAAAGTAAACATGTTTAATACATGCATGCGAGGTGCACTCTTCCTAGTGTTCTCGGTACTTATTTGTCTGTTAATTCGTATGTGAACATATTAATCAAAATCATACGTAGAAGATGCAAGTAGTTAACTAAAAAAATGACAAAAT